ATTTGAGCGTCAATGAAAACAGTGGTGCCTAACATCTCATAAATTTGGGTAATGATTCCTAGAGTGAATTCCATTAGTTAGCAAGTGAAAACATGAAAAAGAAGCAGGAACTCATGGAGTAGCTTGATTCTCTGAATGTCGACTTCTACCCTCCCAACATACTTGATTGTTGAATGTGAGCGGTGAGCCCTAGCATCTTGTAACTTTGGGGAACAATTTCTGGAGGGAATTCCATCAGTTTAAGACCAAGAATGTAAACATCGAACACAAACTGACAGAGAAACTTGTTTTTTTCAGGATGCACTTTTTCTACCCATCACAGAATGGGAAGTTGAATGTGAAGGGCCGAGCCCAGCATGTAAAAACTTTGAGTGGTAATTTCTGGAGTAAATGTTGTCAGTTAGAGGCTGAGAACATGAAGATTGACCAGAAACTTACTAGATATCTCAACTTTTTGGGGGTAGACTTCTGTGTCCCGTATAGACCTGATGTGAAATCGTGAAAATTTGGATGGTGAATCCTGGAAGCAAATTCTGTCACTTATAGGCCAACAAAACAGCAGATGTTGAGGAACAACTCACAGGAAGATGACATTTTCTGGTGGATGGCAACTGTCTGCTAAATCGAGTGTCGAATGTGAACAACAGGGCATAATGAGGTGATGGGCAGCAACACTCACAAGCAAGCTGGGAGGTGCTGGGCTCCAGTGACCTTCATGCGAAGTGTAGTGACAGTGGGTAGAGTAGAGGCCGAGATCAGTGGGTGCATGATCAAGGCATGCTGAATCTGTTATGTAACACATAAAGCAATGTAAGGATCTGGCAACTGTCTCTCAATGGGCAAAAGACTATCTTTTTTGAGGCTTGCAATGGTTTCGCAACACACGGGAAAATATTTTGGCAGGGGAAATCCATGGTGTTGCATTCAAAAGAAAGTCGTACCAGAGAAAAAGACAGTTTCTGCTAGGGTCTTGGCACAATTTGGGCAACAGAGCAAATGACAGGGATGATCTCATACATATTAAATGCCAAGCTCCAGGGCCCCCTACTGTCAGCATGAGGCTGAAGCGTGTTGTGCATCCTTTCAAGTATAAAGCTGCACCATCAGATTCCATAACACCCATCAACCAAAACATTCATGCCAATTGTCCCTCTCAAGCTGCAAGTCTGCCAGTTGCCTGTTTTCCTCTCCTCTTGCATTCAAGCATGATTGTTACACATCAACAATGGCCCCAATGATCTCAGATGTTGACCCTGCTGTCGTGGTCATGGCCCTCACTTGCAAAGCCTCAAATCCTCTTCTGCAACCAATTAGGTGAGTTGTATGGCATGAGTTTCTCATGTTTCCATATTCTTGTATTTCCGTATTTCTGTACAATGCAGCCAACATACCATGCAATGTGATTTTTTTAGAATAACTTCCCCTTCCTCCTGCCCTCCCTCTCCTCCCCCTCCTGCACTTTTGTTCTTTCAGGCTTGGACTTTCATTTCTTCAGACAGGACTTGTGCAAAGGGTCACCACTTGCATTCAGGTTGGTTCCAAGGGACCATGGAGTTTGTACAGCATGCTGTCACACCTTTCTTCCTTCCCTTCAGTGCGGATGTCCTCCCCTTCCATAGTGCCGCTGACCAGTTCTGAGTACAGTGTAGCAGCTGTGTATGTGGGATTGAGTGTTTGCCATTGTGCAAGCCTTTTGTGTGTTATGTGCTTTGGGGGGGTACATGGCTATATATTTAGAGTGTGCTCTATTCTCATCTGAATTCCTGGCGCTTTCTCCCTTCTGGGTTGCCGCCACCCAGGGCCCTGGCCTCTTGGCGAGATCACTCAGCCTCATCACAGATCGGTCACACTTCCAGACCATCTCTTTCATTGGTTGCAGCTCTACTTATGACAATCTCAATACTAATTGAGTACTAATCTATGACTAAATTCACCTCTCATTTGATGCCAAGGGAAAGCTGATGTGAAAAATACAGATGTGTGGCAGATGGCTGACTGACCTCTGACTTCATGTGATTTTCCTTGACTTCACTTTTTACTGAGTATCAGTGGCCACTGTTCTCTTCACATGTGTTCTTTGAAGTGTATTCACCAAATGGTAGATTGTGTTATATCTGAATCTTGAATGAATATTATAGACAGCCTTTGATCATTCACTGGTGGTACTGGCAAGACAATTTGCAGGCAAGACTGGATAGGGTAAATGACTGAACAGTCATACTAGCTCATGATTTGGGAAGACTGAAAAAAGACTAATGAAACTTATTCAACCTAGGCAGATGTAAGGCAGTGGCTCCAAGTCTGAAGGTAAAAGATAGGATAGCCACTTCCTATCTGAAGAGAAAATACAGTCTCCACTAATGTCATAGACATGACATGACAGCAAATGTGTACATGCAACAATGGCAAAAAGTCAACTGAACTCAATCCTTCAACCATGTGCCCATGATCCTTTACATAGTCAAGGAGACTTTAAACAAACTCAATATCAGAAAAGCAGACTACAAACTTTTGAAGTGAAAAAAGCAGACATTACAAACTTTTGTAGTCTCAAAAAGGGGACACTACAAACTTTTGTAGTGAAAAAGCAGACATCAGTAAAATTTGTAGTCTATGTCTGAGTTTTGTAGTCTTTTGTTATGTTTTCTAGTCCATTAGTAAATTTTGTAGTCTGCCAGAGTCAATTTCCCATTTAGGTTATACACCTTCCTTTTGGGGTCAATTTTCCCATGATACAACTATTGTAGCCCCATCTATTAGTTTTCCAAATGTGTTGAAATCATGTTGTTGGATGATGTTTTCATGGAGAAAAATGCAAAAACAAAAAAAAACAGGAACCATGGAATCTGTAAAATCCTTACAAAATATGTGTTAGCATGGTATGAAGCAGAGAGGAGAAAAAGACCTCGCTCACCCAGCCCAGATGATCACGGCAAAGGCGTGCAGAAAATATCTGACAAAGGTACGTTGTGGTATTGCTGTGATGACGTGGCGTTGAGCTCATTGTCAAGCCTGTTGAGCAGATAAGCAGCCTCATAAGAGGCTGCAGAAAGGAAGACGTGAAGAGGGTGAGAGCAAGCGTGGGGCTGTTGGGAGTGAGGAAACAAGGGCTAAGTCTCAAAAAGGTAGGAGTTCCGAATTCCTAGGTCACTTACTAATCGTCTTTGTTGTGATCACAGCAGCTACCTCCAACTCTGACATCCACAACAACGTCCACAACAGTGCATGCTACCTACTATATTTCTATCTTTCTATGAATATCACAATTTGTCCACAGGTACAAAACTTCCGACAAAGGGCAAGCCGACCCCAAAGACCAAGAAAACCAACCCGATTGAGGCTGATGACTCAGACGATTCATCGATCTCATCTCTTTCCGATGGCAGTCAAGGGCGCTTAGGGAAATCAGACAGTGACGATGAAGATGACAATGATTTCGATGTTGCATGGATGACAGATAGGGAGTTCAGGCAGATGTTCAACAGAGAGGTGCTGTTTTTCTTTCTTGGACATGCTCTTAATTTGAAGCCCTTTGCTGTAGCTCCCCCAGGCTGCTGATGCAGCTTCGTTGTTTGACAACGATGATGACATCGAAATCGCCACTAGCCGGCGAGGGTCCAGCTCTGAAGCTTCGCGCCCCCCCACATCTGATTCCAAAGGGTTGTTTGATGATCCAAACGATTCAGGTGAAGAGGAGGTTGATGAAGACGACACCTCACCTGTAGTGGCTACTTTGATGTATCAATTACCCTAACTAACCATTTACCTGATGCATCAATTCCCCTAACTGCCCAGCCTGCTAGCTGGCTACCAGGAAACATGTACAGTAATTGGCAGCCTTGCTGTCTGCTCGTCGCCATCAGGGTCTTCCTCACTGCTGTCAGGGTCCTCCCTCTCTCATCGTCCCCCGCTTCCCTTGCCGCCGTTAGGGTCCTCCCTTGCCGCCATCAGGGCCCTCCCTCTCATCATCCCCTGCACCCCCTCTCATCGTCTCCTGCCCCCCCTCGTCATTGGCCTTGCCGATGTCAGGGTCCTCCCTCTCTCATGGTCCCCTGCCCCCTGCCCCCCTCGTCATTGCCTCTCCCATTAGTTGCCGTCCCCTCGTCCCCTCGTCATTGACGTCTTCATGGCCTTTGTTGTGTTCATGCCCGTTGTCGTCTTCCACCCTCTCGTCGTTGTCGGCGTGCTCGTCATCGTCCTTGCCTTTGTTGTGTTCATGCCCGTTGTCATCTTCCACCCTCTCGTCGTTGTCGGCATGCTCATCGTCATGCTCGTGGTTTCTGTATCTGGCGATGTTTCTTGGCTTCGTACTTGGCGTTCCTGGCTGTCGCCATGCCATCGTCTTCATGCCCTTCGTCGTCTTCCGCCCCCTCGTCATTGTCGTCATTGTCGCCCTAGTTGTTGTCCTCGCCGTTTCTCGTGCTGTGTCTGGCTCGTCGTCGTCCTCGCCCTTTATCGTGCTGTGTCTTATGTGTCTGGCTTCATCCTTTTGGCATGCCTGGTGTTCTTCTTGGCTTTGTTCCTGGCTTCGTACTGGGCATACCTGGCCATCGTCTTCATGCCCTTTGTCGTCTTCCGCCCCCTCATCATTGTCGTCGTTGTCGCCCTAGTCCTTGTCCTCGCCGTTTCTTGTGCTGTGTCTGGCTCGTCGTCGTCGTCGCCCTTTCTCATGCTGTGTCTTATGTGATGTGTCTGGCTTCATCTTTTTGGCGTGCCTGGTGTTCTTCCTGGCTTTGTTCCTGGCTTTGTACTTGGCATGCCTGGCCGTCACCGTCCTCTTCAACTCGTTTATTCTTGTTCACCTAAATAGCCACTTTCATGCTATTTCATAGAGGGAATGAAAACGTACCATGTTGTGGCCGCCTGCTTTGAGAGTTGATGTGGAACAAGAGAACACAACGGCCTTGAGGTACTAAATGAATATACAAGAATAAAAATATGATTTGGTGAAGAAAAAGAAAAGACCCCGCTAAGACTTGCCCCCTCCCCCCACATGCATGAATGCCCTCAACTCCTGGGCGGATATTTTACTCACCAACTAAGTTCGCTAACGCCACTGAGACGTCTTCGAGACGTTCTGCCCAAGCCGACGTCGGTCCACAGGAAGCACCCCAGAAAAAAAGGGCGGCCATCACGCTTAGAAGGCCGTTTATTCCAGGCTTGGCGATGGGTGTCAAATCCTCCCCTGCAGACGCTGGCAGGAGACTACCCCANCATGCCAAAAAGTCTGCATTGAACTGGAGATCGAACTTACCCGCGTCCTTGAACGAGGGCCTCCAAGAAGGCCTGTGTGCATTCTTCAACCACTCCGCTATGCAAGGGGGGCGTTTGAAGCTGGAGAGGTTGGATTGTTTGTCCGCTGGTTTGAAGTTGTGCTGTTGTTCAAATGCCTCCCACAGGCCAACTAGTTTCAGCCATGCGAGGCCCAAGTCATGTGAATGAAGCATTGTCAAACAGGAGGTGAACCAAGAAGGGAGGGGGTTGGAGGAGCCACAGATGGGTGGCTGGGCAGAAACAGGCACAGTGGGCGACTTCACCTTCGAGATCGACGATTTTGTCAACGGCGCTGACTTGCTGCCTTGAGCTCCAGCGTTGGCCGTCGACCGGATCCTCTTTCCTTGTCCTACACGACTTCCCTTGGCAGAAGTGATGCCCCTCCTCTTTTTAGCCCCGCCCCTCTCACCCCCTGCACCAGAATCTACGATAGACGATGATGAAGCCTTCCTTTTCTTTCCAGAAACGGACTCCTCTTCGCGTGCGTCACTGGGACGAATAGGATCTGGAGAATGGGGAGGAGATCCGGGTAGGGAGGGTGGAGGAGATCCATGGGCAGAGAGCGGGGAAGCAGGGCGCAAAGGTACTGGGGTAGAAGGGCGTGGTGCAGAGTTGAGAGGGGCTGCAGCAGCAGCCGAAGGATCTATGTCCCAATCGGCCCCGTGCACGGAGACCTCGTTGCCCGTGAGCTGGGATAAAATGGGGTTGGAGGAAGGGAGGGCTTGAGCACGACATTCCGACTTGGCTGAGACAAGAAATGAGAAAACGTATGCAGAATATGGACGAATTGAACGTACTGTAGCATTTTCTAAGGTAACGGCCGAAGAGGGGGGTTATGACCTCTTGAAATCCTTCCCTCTCTGCCTGTCCAAAGTTCATACCCACTGGCCCTTTGATAGAGCCAGCATGCATGCTAAACAGAAGAAAGCCGAGAAATCAGCGCCCAGAACGAAGGCATTGAAAGCATGAACGTACCTGATTATGTTTAAACGACCTCCATCAGCAGGCTCAGGTCCACCCACAATTAAGGTGGCTTGCATGTTGGTGTGCACGTGAATGAGATCCAAAATGGGCTGGGCAAAAATCGGAAGGGCTGCAATGCACCTGAAATTATCAGAAAAAGAGTGATGGCACGGCTTTAGGCCAGTGGCTCACCTTTGTCGATCCTCTGGGTCTGTGGACGGGGGCGCAGACAACTTATTCTTCCACTCGTTCAACTTCTCGTCGCCCTCTTTCTTGGCCATTTCGATGTACTTCTTACGCTTGTCCAAGGGCAATGCGTTGAAAAGCGCCTTATTTATTCGTGTGCGCTCTGCAGCTTGCAGATTCTTCGGCAGCGGCTTGTAAATGTGTGCGTTGGTACGTGTCATTGATTTTCTGCTTGTTGACACGCCCCCACACGTTGTAGGTAATTGGAAGCCGAGGTTTTGAAATGCTGGCGCCAGTAAGCCGCGCCAGCATGATGATTGCGGGATTGTCGGTGTCGGGGAGCGAATCCTTGACTTTCCCTAAGTCGGGGACCTTCTTCTGCCGATAAGCGAGCCAACGCTTGATTTTCTGGGAGACAAAAAGGTGAGCGCCATGCAGATGATGAAAGAGAAGACGAAGCAAGAGTGGCCCATCATGTGACATGAGGTTCCAACTTGAAATCGGACTTACCTGTTTCTTCTTTTCGATAGCTTCCTTCGTCTGGTTGAACTTCAGCAGCTGGTTGGTGTACTCTTCCTCCGTCATCGTCTCCTTTTTGGGTGGCTCTAGTTCCTCGTCTGGCTCGTTATCGTTGACGCTGGCAAGCGTCTCTTCTGTCGGCTCTACGTTGTCCGCCAGGTCCACTGGATAACGTTTGAAGTATCGCCGCCAAAGGTCCAGAATGAAGTCGTCCTCTCTGTTGTTTACGACCGCCTTCGTGTACGCTGGCAATTCGCCCTCTAGAAACTTCAAGCGGCTTCCGGCGAAGCCACCAGGATTCGGCATCTGTGTAAGGTTCGGGTTGGTTAATCTGTCATCCAGGACGAAGCCCGTATGCTCACCTTTGCTTAGGTATGCTGATGACGGGCATGGATACGACGACATGCACAAAGAGAAGATTGACCAGAACGAAACGGGCGAGGTAGGTGAATTTGTTTGAACATTTTATTTCGAAATACTGGCAGGGCTTGTGTAGGGCTCAAGTTTCACCAATTTTTCACAACGCATGGCAACAATCAGGGCCCTTACACTTGGCCAGATTTCGTTGTTGGGACTAACAGTCACGAGGCTCCAAATGAGAAAGATCTAGCGGTAAGTTACCTGATTCTATCGCCTCCAGTTCCCGTGCTAAATCGATTTTTGGCCAGATTTCGTTGTTGGGACTAACAGTCACGAGGCTTCAAATGAGAAAGATCTAGCAGTAAGTTGCCCGATTCTATCGCCTCCGGTTCCCGTGCTAAAATCGATTTTATAAAGATCGATCGCCCCCAACATCTACTCCCACCAAACCACGATGAAATTGCCCTACAGGCCGTCGCCCACTGCTTTCTCGACGCAGTCCACCATGTCCTCGTTGTCGGACACGGTTTCTTCCCTTTCTTCTACAATTTCCCCTTCACCCTCCATTGCTTCTGCCCCCTCAACTCCCAAGAAGCAAGTTTCTTCAAACTTTAGCGGTTAGTAGCGACCCGCTTCCTTCGAACGAATTAACCAATGCTTCTCAGGCCACTACGTCTCGCCGGGTGCAGGTCTCTTGCTTCGTACGCCCCCCACCTTGCTTCGCTCCCCCCCCCCCTCAAAGCAGGGACCACCCCTTGGCTCGCCATTCAAAACAATCAAAAAAAAGAAAACAACGGCCATCACCATTGATGGTGGGTAGCCCTTGGTCATTTTACGCATTCCTCGACTAACGGATCCATTGAACGAACAAAGACCCCTTCGTCGAAGGTGGGGACGCAGCAATCGTGATTCAAACCAAGCACAGCATAAAGGCACTAGTGGCTACCACTATTTATGATTAATCTATGACAACTGTCCAAGAGCCATTGTGTATAATGCCACAGGTTTTATGAAAGGCATCTCATTAGGATTGCCCATCTATTTCATTCAATTTGTCACTGGAATCTTTCATAAGTTATAGGCAAGGATAATGAGATATCATGGGGATATTTCATTAGGCTCTTTGGCCCTTTCATTATCATTTCTGAGACTTTTCATTAGGATATTTCATTAGGCTGCTTCGCTTTTTCATTACCATTTCATAGAATTTTCATTAGGATATTTCATTAGGCTCCTTGGCACTTTCATTACCATTTCTTAGAATTTTCATTAGGATATTTCATTAGGCTCCTGCGCTTTTTCATTATCATTTCTTAGAATTCTCATTAGGATATTTCATTAGGCTCCTGCGCTTTTTCATTATCATTTCTTAGAATTTTCATTAGGATATTTCATTAGGCTCCTGTGCTTTTTCATTACCATTTCATAGAATTTTCATTAGGATATTTCATTAGGCTCCTGCGCTTTTTCATTACCATTTCATAGAATTTTCATTAGGATATTTCATTAGGCTCCTGCGCTTTTTCATTACCATTTCTTAGAATTTTCATTAGGATATTTCATTAGGCTCCTGCGCTTTTTCATTATCATTTCTTAGAATTTTCATTAGGATATTC